GAAAAAATAGACCACTAAAAATTAAAATTAAAAATTTTAATCATCTAAGCTCCATTCAGCCAGAAAAATATATAATAAGCATTTATTTAAATTTATTAAAATACGCACAAAATTTTTGGCCGGAAAAATGTGAGAGGAAGCTCGATTTTTTGAATCCCGCTGCGCTGCTGTCTTCCTCTTGGTGGAAATCGTCAGTCGTCAGTTTCCAGTGTCTCTGTCGAACATCAGAACCTCACATTTCTTTGATTTTTTACGTAGCCGATCCAAATTCCTCCGCATTTTAATATACACCACAATCGCAATGTATGTTTCCCCGCGTCTCTCCAGTCTTCCTCTCCTCACTCCATCACTCCTTCTTTTCGAATGGCTCGTGTCGTTGCTCGCGCCACCGCTTCTTTTCCCGTCAATCTGTCCACCGATGCAGTCTCCTTCGGCTTTTCTGTTGGTTTGGCGTCGGTACGATGTACGAATCCCCTCACCGTCTCTTCGATATTCGGTGGGAGATTTCATGCTCTGTGCGGAGAGGATGGGAAGGTGTTGAGAAGGCTAGGAACGGTTTTTGGTTTGCAGAGAGAGTACCGGAATGTGAAGACGCCGCCGGTGAACAAGAAGGTGAAGGAGTTGGAGCTCAGTGGTCAGTATTGAAATTGAAGACGGCTTGCCTGATGATCCTGAACTCTTGGTATATACCTCGCTCCATGTATATATTGACAGATTGTTTGTCTTTATGTTGTATTTACTTAAAGTTCTGCTTGATTCTAGATAAAGATGCATGAAATACAATGCAGAGGTATTGCGAAGCCATAACTGTTACGATCCTATTAGCGAAACTGTAGCTAGATTTCTTTTTTAAGTTATTGATGTTGAAAGCTTGTCTGTTGAATTTAATGTAATTTTTTAAAAGCTGAAATTGCATCAAAGAAGCAAACTGAAAGTAAAAAAAAATGAAGGAACTGCCCCGAAATTGTTCATCATTGTTTTATGTACTGCTCTTATTTTAATAATTGGATTCAGGTCTACTTCTACTATATTTTTGCTTTGATGTAATTCTTTCATATTTTTTTTCCCTTTTTTTTTGTATGCTTTGCAGAGTATTGCAGAATTGCTTCGTCTTAATGTGCCAATGGCAATGAAGTCAGCTTTCGATGGTTTAAAGGATTCAAATTATAAAACTAGAGATATGGCCATACAGGATCTTGCTGGTTTTGAAAGTGTGAAGTTGTCTATACTCCTTTGCAATGATGAGTTCATTCGAAAACTTAATAAAGAATGGAGGGATGAAGACCATGCTACTGACGTACTTTCCATGTCACAGCATGTCCCTGGACTCAACATTCCTATTGTAAGAAATGTAATTTATGTCTTTACTGAAGTGCCCATTTTAAGTGATGCAAATTGACAGATAATTTCTTATGTTGCAGCTTGGGTTGGGTTGTTGACCAAGAGAGGAAATAGCAGAACTCTTTTTCTCTATTGAACTCACGCACAACAGCTATCTTCTACTTTCATTCTTCTTTTTACTTACAAAAGTTAGTGATTTACACTGGTTGTCCATATTCTAGAGTATTCTTTTTGTTTACAATATTTTAATTTACCATACATGCAAAAAAATCTAGACACACAACTAACGTGGCTTTCTTTCCATCATATATTCTTGTGTGGCTTCAATTTACTTTGCAGTAAAATATATGCTTCTAGAAGACTTTTACTTCATCACCTTTTAGATCTCAAGTCGGTAATGAATATTTTAACGCTCCCCTTCAACACCAACTTTGCTTCTTGGCATCATCCCAAGCTGCTTGCGAAACTTTTCAAGCTTTCCAGCGTTGAGTCCTTTTGTGAATATATTTGCGGCTTGCTCATCTATTTTTGTAGCTTGCATTTCTATCTCCTCTTGTAGTACCTTTTCTGTAATGAAATGGTAATGAACTTCAACATGTTTTGTCCTGGCATGAAACACAGGATTTTTTGCTAACCGAATTGCTGATTGATTATCACAATACAATTTTACTGAATAATCACTTGGCTGCTTCAAGTCTTCCATTAATTGCATAAGCCAGGTGCTTTCTTAGGCTGCCACAGCTATTGCTCTATACTTTGCTTCAGTGGTTGATAAAAAAACAATAGGTTGTCTCTTGCTGCACCATGAGATCGCTCTAGATCCCAAATTAAACACATAACCAATAGTGGATCTCCTTGTATCATGATATCCAGCATAATCAGCATCACAATAGCCAACCACCTTCCACTCTGTGCCACTCTTGTATAATATGCCATAATCCAGTGTTCTTTTGACATACCTGAGAATTCGACGTACTGCTTCCAAGTGTGGCTTTTTAGGATTTTGCATAAATCTGCTCACCACTCCTACTACAAATGATATATCCGACCTTGATAAAGTCAAATAGATTAAGCTTCTGACGAATTGCCAATAACATAGTGGCACTTGTTAAGTCCTTCCCTTTATAGGAACAGAGTCTAGCATTCATCTCCATTGGAGTTGAGATTGGCTTGCACTCAAGCATCCCAAACTTCTTTAATAAATCTGATGCATACTTTTGCTCACTCAAGAATATGCCTTCTTTTGTCCGATCCACTTCAAGTCCAAGAAAGTGCCTTAATTCTCCCAACTCCTTCATCTGAAACTGTACTGACAAGTTCTCCTTTGTTTGAAGAATTTCTTCAATGTCATCTCTGGTGACAATTAAGTCATCCACATAGACAAGCACAATTGCTACTTTGTTGCCTCGAGTTTTGACAAATAGGCTTGAGTTTGCAATTGTCATTGAATAGCCACTTTGAACAAGAAATTTTGCAATTTTGCCATACCATGCTCTTGGTGCCTGCTTGAGTCCATACATTGCCTTCTTTAATTTGCAAACGTACTCTGGATGCCTTTTGTCTTCAAATCCACATGGTAGCTCCATATAAATTTCTCTATCAATTTCACCATGCAAAAATGCATTCTTCACATCCATTTGCTACAGCTTCCATGATTTGCTTGCAGCTAGAGCAAGCAGGACTCTAACAGTATTAATCTTAGCTACCGGACTGAAAGTTTCATCATAGTCTATCCCATACTATTAAGAAAACCCTCGAGCAACAAGCCTGGCCTTATATCTCTCTATCTTCCTATCTGGTCGAGTCTTAACTTTGTAGACCCATTTGCAAGATACTGGCTTTACATCATTTGGCTTGGATACTAATTCCCAAGTCTGATTTTGCTTTAAAGCCTTTATCTCCTCTTCCATTGCTTTTCTCCATTCAATACTCTGTGCAGCTTCCTCATAGTTCTCCGGTTCGGTCACCGGACTTGCTTCAATAAAAGCAATATTAGCATACTTAGGATTTGGCTTTTGCTCTTGAGTGGAGTGTCATAGCTGCTGCTCAGGTTGTTGTTCTGCTTCTTCTACTTCACCTTGTCTTGTTTCTTCGGTCATGGGCTCTCATACCCTTGTTTGCCATGGACTCACTGTTCTTTCAAGAGCTATCTATTTTTCCTTCTCTACAACTCCTTGAGTATCCAACAACTTGTAAGTATCTTCTCCAAGTTTTTCCTGTACTTTTTCTTCCAACTCCTTGGAATCTAGCAACACTGCCTCTTGTGGAGACCACCAAGAAGATGCTTAATCAAACACAACATTTCTAGAAACATAACAATGCCCAGTATTTGGGTCACAACACCTCCATCCTTTCCTTTGGTCATCATAGCCAAGAAAAATGCATTTGACTACTTTCTTATCAAACTTGGTCCTTTGAGCTTCTGGAACAAACACATAGCACACTGAGCCAAAGACTCGAAAATGGCTCACCATTGGCTTAATGTTCCACAGCTTCTCAAAAGGTGATATAAATCCCAAAGTAGCTTGAAGAAGCCTGTTAATCACATGGGCTACAGTCTTCATGGACTCTGCCCAAAATTTAGGTGGCACATTTTTAGCATGCAACATGCTTCGACATGTTTCGCCAAGGTGTCTATTCTTCCGTTCAGCTACTCCATTTTGCTGAGGAGTATATGGACAAGTTAGTTGTCGCTGAATACGATTATCTACCGCCGAATACGATTATCTTGTAGATAATCTGAAAATTCCTTTGAGGTATACTCTCTCCCATTGTCTGTTTGAAGGCACTGAATTTTCTTGCCAAATGTCTGCCCAACTTCCTTTTTGAACCTTTTAAACATTTTTAAAGTTTCTGATTTTTCCTTCATGAAGTACACCCATACATGCCTCGAGTAGTCATCAATAAATGTCACCATGTAATGTTCTCCACCAATTGATGATTATTTGACTTTACCAAAGACATCCGAGTGTACCAACTGCAGTGGTTCCTTGGCCTTGAACTTGGAATCTTGATATGGAAGTTGATGTGATTTCCCACATTGACAATTAGCACAAACAACATCTTTGCGCACCTCCAGCTTGGGTAGGCCTTTCACCATAGATTTATTCATCATCACCTGCAATCTAAGATAACTAACATGCCCAAGACGTGCATGCCACAAGTCAACAGTATCATTCTTGCTGGTCCTGTCCATATATGTTGTTTCAGCAGACATCACATAAACAGAATTCTTCTTTTCTCCTTTCATGATTGGTGTGCCTTCAATCCTTAATTGTTGATACACCTTCACATCTTTCGTTTCGAACACCACATAATTTCCAAGAGCTGTAAGTTGTGCCACAGACAACAAATTCTTTTTCATCCCAGATACATGGAGGACATTTTTCACCTTTACTTGTTAAGAGTTGGTGCATGGTGTTATCACCGCATCTCCAATTTGCTTGATCGAAAGCCGAGTATCATCTACTGTCACTACCACTCTGTTTCTTTTGTATTCTAACAAGTTCAATAGCTTTTCCTCATATCCTATCATGTGACTAGCAGCTCCAGAGTCAATTATCCAACTTTTGTTGTAGTCAACTCTACTTTGGTTGGAAGCTAACAAAGCCACTTGGTTAGCCTCAACTTCGGCTTCTATCTCCACTGTTGCACAAGAAGCCTGCATGTCCCATTCTTCTTCACTATGATTTCCTTCTTTTTTTGAGGTAGCAACATTTCCTTGCACTGAGCCCTTTTTGTATCTGTAGGCTTTTGCAAAGTGACCTCTCTTTCCACAATTAAAACACAGATCATTACATCTCCTGTAATTGTTGAAGCTGCTACTTTCTACCACTTGGCCTTTTTGAGCTCCCCCTAAACGGTAACTCCTATTTTGCTGCCTCCAGGATTTCTCATCCTTTGGTTGATCTAACTTGATGCTTTGGGATCTGCCTTTGCCTCTACTTTTTCCTTTGGTGCTATAGAGGCCTCCTCTGATATTGTACTTGCCTCTTCCTCGGCCTCGTCCACTAAAGAGTGCTTCTTCCTCTGTTTTTTATGCTCCTTCAATTGCTTGCTTTCCCTGTGCTTCTTGATCTGCCAACAAATTTTCTAATTCATCCATAGTTGGCTGAGTTTGCCAACCTTGTACAGTTGTGATAAAGGCCTTAAACTCTGGCCTTATTCCATGAATAATTATTCTCCTCATTCTTTCATCTGAAATTTTGGATTCTTCATCCAATTCTGAAATTTCTCGGCATAATAATTTGATTTTTGTGAAATATTTCCTGATTGGCATATTTTCTTGCTTCAAGGAAAGCAACTCATTTTCCAGCAATTGAAGCTGAGTATAATTCTTCCTTTTAAAGCGAGCAGCTAAAATATCCCAAGCATCTTTTGATGACGTAGCGTACTTGATGTGCTCCAACATTTCTTCCTCAATAGAAGTTTTGATGGCAAACATGGCCTTGGCAGCTCGAACTTTCCATGGCTTGTACACAGCAGCATTGATCTCTGGTGGCGACGCAACCTCATCACCTTTCACAATCTCCAGCCAGTCTTGGCTCTCTAGGTAAGATTCAATGCATGTTTGTCATGTGCTGTAATTTTTGTCATTCAACTTCTTGATGGTGTTTAGCCAGCTTTGATCACCCATTATAATTTAGTGTGGTCCTTGCCAATACTAACTTGGTCCCAAACCAATAGATCACAAGCTTGACAGTCCCAGACTGTGCACAAGCAGAATTTCTCCAAAGAAAGAGATCCCTGACCTCATTGCTTTATGATGATCTTTGACTGAGCGGTCCCTAACTGTTGCAACAATAAAGCTGGGAAAAACCTTCACCAAGTGAAGAATCATGATCCCTGATCGTGTGTAGAGATTGCTACAGTAGATTGCTCTGATACCAAATTTGTTAACCAAGAGAGGAAATAGCAGAACTCTCTTTCTCTATTTAACTCGCGCACAAAAGCTATCTTCTACTTTCATTCTTCTTTTTACTTACAAAAGTCAGTGATGTATACCGGTTGTCCATATTCTAGAGCATTCTTTTTGTTTACAATATTTTAATTTACCATACATGCAAAAAAATCTAGACACACAACTAACGTGGCTTTCTTTCCATCATATATTTTTGTGTAGCTTCAATTTACTTTGCAGTAAAATATATGCTTCTAGAAGACTTTTACTTCATCACCTTTTAGATCTCAAGTCGGTGATGAATATTTTAACATGGGTGATATTGTAATTTCCGTTGAGACAGCTGCAAGGCAAGCAGAAGAAAGAGGACATACGCTTCTTGATGAAATACGCATCCTTATGGTTAGCATAACAATTCTTAGTTCAGTTATTGACATCTTTATGCTATATTTGTGTCTAGGTCATAGTGTTTAGATTGTAGCATTTTTAGTCAATAAAAACTCAGCAGTTCAACTATCCTTGTTTTGGGTTGATAATAAAAATGATTTTATACCAGTACAAGAAGAATGAAATTCCAAGGAAAAAAAAAAAGCTAATTTTCTGTGGCAGCGGGTACAACATTTGCTTGAAAACAATCAATTTTGTATTTTGACCACTGATGTCCATGCTACATCATTCACAATGTTTTAGCATGGAGCCTTTCCACTAGTTTTTCCATTTTGGGGGTTGGTTATGAGGAAGATCCACGGGAGTTTCTACAACTAACCTCTAGATGGTGTGATGCAATGAAACTAAAGAAGAAAGCATTGGCCATAAAGCAGTCTTTCTACTTTATGTAGCTTCTAAGAACTTATTGCATCCAACAATGCAGGTTCGTGGATTGCTACATCTGTTGGGTTTTGGTCATGAACTTAGTGAAGAAGCTGAAGAAGAAATGGAGAAGGTAGAGGAATTGCTCTTGAAAAGTCTTGGGTGGAAGGGAAAAGGATTAATCAGGAGTGCATGTGAAGCAGAAGCTAATGCAGATTTTCATACAGAGAATTCAGTTGGTAATATCACAATCTATCTTTTTACCTTCAAGATCTTCTTACCCTATGGATATTATCTAATAATGCATGTATTCTTTTGTCATTTGTGAGTTGCATAACGCTATATATCAGTTTTGACTGAGATATTCTTACATACAATGTCCTAAAGACAGGAAGAAAGAAGGCAGTCTCCGATTCTATAAACCAAAGTTCAAATATATCTTCTGCGATATGGATGGTGAGATTACGCCAACTGTGTAAATGTTCCCTTAGTTTAAGAGATAGTTGCTGATAGTTTTGATATTTAATGCAAGGTACAATGCTAAACAACAAAAGTCAAATTAGCCAAGGAAATGCTAGTGCTTTGAAGGAAGCATTATCAAGGGGCATTACATGCCTACTTATTCAACGAAAATTTACCCCTCAGCTCAACAAATAAATAAACACGTTGAGCTAGCGGCAAAATTTCATCATGCAATGTAATGCAATGGCATTATTCAAATGTGAGGAGTAGTACTGATCTGGAATTTAAACTCTTTTCTCAAACTGGGCCTGATTATGTTTCCCTACACTTGCCAAGATGCTTTTATCAACAGTGACAAAATAAGCAGAGATTGATGCTGTCAACCAACAAAATTGCCATATGTTAAAATTTCGATAACTTCAGTCTTTCTCATGGGTGTGCAACACATAGATGCTTTATTTGAAGTTCCAAGGACACGAGTAACATTTGTGTAGTTCATTGCAGGCTTGTATCCTTGGTATCACATGAAGAAGATCGAGTCTAGTTCCATTATTATAAATTTATTACTCCATGATATAAAGACAAAATGTCATTATTCCCACTTCATACTATAGTAACTTCAAAAGGAAAACATTTGACTCCATTATTTTGAAAAAGATTTCGATTCTTAAACAATGTTATCATCATGTTCCTCTCACCTCTATGCAGTCAAAATAACACCCAATGAATAATAAATGAATCATGAATACCAGATAATCTAGAGTGATCAATTATATAATTAAAAAATACCTCCACTTATGATCAGTGCTTGACCAGTATAGTTGAGGTTTGCCTTTGCCCAAGGAATCTTACGAACTACAGTCAACTGAAAAGTGCAAAGGAGGGGGTAAGGTAAAGGAATTAGAGAGAACTAAACATTCACAGACTACAATCCACAAATTGGTAGACAAAACTTCAAGAACATATTTCCTAGCACCTTTAATTTTCACAGATTGAGATAAAAATAACTTATTAAAAGTCTCTTTCAGCTCATAATATTATTTTTTTTCCATCTGGAGTCCATCAGAACAGGTGACAGAAATTTCTTTGAAAATAAAGAAAATTGTATCAGTGTGTCTTACAGCCACAATTGTCATGTGCTTTGAGTGTTTGTCTCTTGAAGTGCTGGATCAGTCAATAGAAACTTTGAGATCAATAAGATGAAAATGAATTAGAGCCATATGTCATATTGCTTACAACTTATAGCCATGTTCTAGGCAGATCAGGGCATCACCAAAATGCTATTATCCTGCTTGCTGCAATTACACCTTCCTTCCATTGCAAACTATACCTTTTATCTATAAGCATGAAATAAAAGGTATCCACAAGAAATCCATTTACATGAGATCTTTTATACATATTACACTTCCACTTGTGAATCTGATCCTAATAAAAGGTCTCAGTCTTTACAAATTTAGACTTTCTACCATGTCTAAGAAGTAATGAAATCAATACGAAAGAAAGAAGATGATACTATGATGGATTAAGGACAAAACTGATAAATGCAGAATCCAATTTTATCATAATACCAAAATGAACCAATAATCATAACATACGAGTAAAAAAGGGCGTATAGTGGGCACAGCACTGGCCATAGCTGCTGTGGCAGCTACCTTGAGACCGGCAGGAATTCCTTTTGCAGATTATACAGAAACTAAATCTATCAAATCACAATAATCAATCTGATAACGAAAATAAACATGACAGTGAGAAAATCTATGCTTGCGAGGTGAGAAAATGTAGAAAAGAAACAGGAATTGATATTCAAAAAAGCTTCGAGAAGCAAATTGCTCATCGGTCTATGAAATTGAAACCAAGTTTAGGTTAAATGATGAGAGATTTAAATTACAGAATCAAAAGGAGAGATTGAAACCTTGAGAGGATCGTTCAGCTCGTAATCTCTTCTCCTCCTCATTAATTATGAGAAGCAATCACGAAAATATATATGTCATTGCTGAAGAAACAAGATCAGTACAGATAGCTGAGGGTAGAGTTATGAAGGCACAAGTACAAAATCAATCAAGGCGTGAGACCA